TAGAATTCACTACAGAGTATCATTTCCCTGCATGGTTCTCTCCACATAGGGAAATTATTCTGAAATCACAAAATCCAATCGCATGTCAAAATATCTCTGATGGCCAAACATTTGCTCTCAGACATAGGTTTTGAATAGCAACACTATTCCCTCATCATAAAGCATTACCCAAGTAATTAACAGCTAGAAAAGCAAAGGCTAAGCCACAGCCTACTTCAAAGGCTGTGCAAGAATTAAATGAGGTAGTACAACAGGTTTGGCACACCAGTTTTTAAATATCATGTCTACCTCCACTACTCTTGGAGAACCACCATCCAGCCCAGGATTGAGAGAGACAGCAGTTTCACCTAGGTGTGAAACTAGGAACGTGTGTGTTTATCATTTATGTTCACTCCTCAAATGCTCACAGTGAATCAGTTTGGATCACAGATGAATCATCTCAGCTGCTACCTTCTTCTAGGAAAAGTATGTACCACAGCTATAGAGCACCCCAAATTACAGAGCAAGAGCCCAGAAGAGGAGCCGACTGTGTGTGGGGGGCATTCATAGCAGTAGGGTTAGTTCATCTCAGAAATGATGAGGGCATGGGGCCATTTTCTCAGCTGGGTGTTTCTGAGACAGACTTTGCAAGTAGAAAATTGTTGTGGGACACAGTGAGCCCTGCCTTTACTGGAATGTTTTCCAGCCTCCAGAAGGGTACTGCTGTATAACCAGCCATCAGCTCCATGGCTCACCAGGGCCCAGGGCAAGTCTTCCTGTAGGCTCCTTGCTGAGGAATTGCCCATCTTGCAGACCTGGACATTTGCAGGATAGAGAGGAGCACCTGCAAAGCTGAAAGAGAGCAAAATTCTGTAGTGCAACAGGCCGACCAGGTCACCTGCAAAGCGAGGCACATCCTAGATGATTTCTTACTGGCTCCTGGAGGACTGGCAGGTGTTGAATGCATATCCAGATTGTTCACGTATTGCATGCCAGGTAGTATGGCAGCATTAAGTGTGGATTAACAAAGCGTTCGGCAAAGTGATAGCAATTATCTTTCATAATCAGACGACGAGTGATGTTTATGTTTCTAAATGCTACTTAGTACTTCTAATTTTTTTCCCGTAATGGGCATTGATGAGTTTTAAAGAAGGGCAGAAGTTAGACTCCCTAAATATCAAGAGTTTCCAACTGTCTATTTCCTCACCATTTTATCTTGTAATTTAAGGTATTTACTGTGATATACATCAGGATTTGATCACCATGCTGAAGTCTGTAATGTACTGGGTTGTCGGCTTTGTTTGTTCATGGCGATATAACTGTTTAGTGAGACAGCTCTAGGCTTTGGTGTCAGAAGACCTTGATTCATTCCCAGAAGTCTTTGGACAACTCACTTCATTTACCCTTGTTCTTCCATCCTTGTAAAATCATGATATGCAGTTATTTAGATGGTCAGCAAAGATTATATGTAAAAATGTAGTTTGAAAATAGAACCTCGGTCCAACGGTAGAAGACAGAATTAAAAATGACTGAATTTAACTCTGCGTATTTAATGCTGTGGTATTGAGGAGTTACCTGTGGAGTAGAAATCTGCACCGAAAAAATAAATTAACTCTGTGATTCATCTATCTCTAACATTCTGCTGATTACTTAAGATATGAGCCAGATGTTTCATATGCTATTATTTAAGTGCCAGATGATTTAGATCCTAATTTCTTAAAATTATGGCATGTGTTCAGGTTTTTCATGGCAGTTTGTCTGAATTATAGCAGCAAAAACATATTTGTATGCACAGTGTTGCATGTATGTTTCTCTGTGATGTGTATTTTGGTATCCAGGCAATTACTGATGTGTATTTTGGTAGATGTGTAAATGCATGGATGGTAAAATACGCATCACAGATTGTGTTCATATGTATCTAAATATATGTAATTGAAATCAAACTTGAATATCACTGGGAAAAACATACGCATACATATATATTTCTTTTTTTTTTTAACCATTGCTATTGCCATTGATGTTGATATTTTATTGACTTCCAGTATCAGTTTATGGAGGAAAAAGGACATTACATTTTTTTGTTTTCCAATAATTGAGCTTTTAATCCCTGTAACATAACAAATTAATTTTAACTAAAAACACGGAAATTGCCAATTACTTTTTTGCCCTAAGGAAGCACAAATTACAAAGATACTTAAAAGAGATTCATGTTAAACAACATGTTGGAATATGATCACGTTTGCAGTATTTAAACATTTGTCCATTAAAAGTATTCCATTAAAATAATCCACTTGTTTGAAGCTGTACTTAAGGACAGGGTTTAAATCAAGTTTATATATACATCGTTTAAAAAGAAAACATGAAGAGAATATTTGCGCATACTCTATAGCAGGCAAGGGCCCATTAGAGTATCAGACCCAAGAGAGAGGAGTACTATATTGGTTTTAAATCTAGATTCTATGTGTTTGTGGGTTTTAGGGCATTCTGTTCTGTTCCACTGGCTATTTATCTAGGCTTACACCAATCAAACACTGTCTTAATTACTGTGGCTTTATCATAAGAGGCAGGATTAAGTCACTGACCAAATATGTCAGATTCTATCTTAGGGATACATACTTTAACAACGTCTTGGTTGATTTCAGTGGGCCGCCAAAGATGAGATTCACTCTGCTAACAACTTTTGAGCAGTTCCCAAAATTTCTAACTGGGGCTAAGGAACATCAGTGAGTGGATCCACTGTGACTCCTTCGGCACTGTACTGATTGGTACCCTAAATGCAGCCAAATGTTATTCCCTGAGGAAATCTTAGTATCTGTTAATGTGGTTCAACCTGATGGGTCTATAATAGTTACACTTTCCAGTTGATGTTTTTTCTGTCGAACTGATTTTTCTTTTTTCCAATTTATAATCAAGTCTTCACTTTCTGGTTTACTGTTAAGCAAGAATTGCTTGTAAAGCAGAAAAGCTATTTTCTTTAAAGACCTTTCAAAACCCCACAGCTTTAATATCTACTTGTTACAGTGTTATTTTTAGACTTAAATTTAGTGGAAAATGGGCTTCTTATTAGTTCTCTGGTTTTAAACTTATAAATCTCTTTCATTAAATCTTTTTATTAAGATTTAGCCAACTCCCACAGCATTTGATAATATTACTGTGAATGATTTGAGCTCACTGGGGTCTACTGTTCTAAAATACTTTTTAAGTATAAAATGTAGTTGAAAATAGTTTTCTGTTTGTACTTGAACAATAAAAGCTGAGATAATACTTGTGTTCAGGTACTCACACTCCATGCCACAATCCAAGGACACCCCAGTCCCTTCAAAACTTTCTTAAAAATTTTAGTGTCAAAACATTTAAATACATTAAAAGCATGTTAGTGGTAAACAACCAGATAAAGAATGAAAGAAACACAGTTTTCAGGAGCTACTTAACACCTAACCTCAGACAAACGAAACGTCAGAAGGTTTGAGAAGCGTCATTCTGTTTCCTTAGAGGACGGTATTATTTACAGGCTAAATGGGTAGAGTGCGTTTGTGAGGGCACACTTCCTACAATCTGTCTGCCCTGTTCTCAGCTTCTGCCCTTCTTCCTTCAGTTGGATTGGCCCACGCATGGCAATCACAGGTAGATTGTTACAGGTAACTGAGCGGAAAATTAAAGAAAAAAAAATTAACAGTCGCAGAGACCCAATTAGCATGTCACGGAAAGCTTGCATGTGGGAAGTAACGTGGGAAGGAAGGGCTGAAATAGGCAGATAGGGAATCACCGTGTAAAAGTAGGTGGATAAAGATCGGGAGTAGTGGAAATGAAATGCATGGGTGAGGTTGAGAAGGCAGGCATTTCGGTTTGTGTAGTGGTAAAAATAGAAGAGGCGGGTCAGGTGTGCAGCTGTTTCTAACGTCTCAGCGCTGCTCTTTCAGTGCACCGTTCTTGCCGGAAGCCTGGGGCCTGCAGTCTACTCAAGGGTTCTGTTCTTTGGAACTACTGCAGAAGCCTGGGAATCGCCTGAGAAGTGCTTTGTTAGAATCAATACCACAAACTCTTTGGGGGCAGAGGCAGAATGAGATCAGTTCCTTAGACACTACTCAGTAGCTTGAAGGCGGCTTTGTGGCGCTCAATTGCTCTTCAGCCCTCATCATTTCCCACTGCCATGTCAATCTTGAATCCTAAGGGCGATCCCAATTCCACCTGCTGAAGGACGTTAGGACGGGAGGGCTGAGGAATGTGGGCTGTCCTGCAGAACTGCTTAGGGACGGCTGCAGAACTCACTGTGTGCATTTGAGCCTTTTCTGTCATTGGCCCCATCATTTTGCTCTGCATTTTCCTTTCGCCTCCACCTCGTAAGTCCTGCCTGCATAAGCGGGTAGGCATCGATAGTGAGGCTGTTGTGATGTTTCTCGTTTGCTGATCTGCTCTTCGATTTGAGCATCATTTAACTTACCTTGTTTTATGCCTTTTCTTTTCAACTTGATAAGCTTCCTTTACTCACATGTTATTCTTCTGCTCAGTAAGACATATGCCAACACAGGCACAAATCAATTATTGTCATATTAACCATGTTATTTTGTAACTATTCTTATTACCACATATTGCAGTTATGTGGCTATGCAAACTTGTGCATGTATATAGTTTTATAATGTTTATTTTATCTGTAACTTAGTTTCCACCAACAAAGAATTTTTGGAGGCTTGTCTTAAGCACGATCATATGTAGATAGTTGGCACCAAATTTGTTTCCCATGAATTGAAATTTGATACTGATGAGGCTGAATTTTAAAACGACAGAAAAATAATTCCTTAAACCTCTGTGTTCCCAAAATGGTACATATTTTCTTTCCTTTAATAATTTGTTGCTGTTCCTATCTTTCAGCACTGCAGAACATGTACAATTCATCCTTCAATATTAGTGCATGAATTATAAAATGTTATGAAAATTGGCCAAAGTGGTTGGAAATTTCTTAAAATCACAGACTAAAGGTCGCCAGAATAATATGCTTTTTGTGTGTGTGTTTTCTCTTCCAGGTCAGAACTGTGGAGGCTTAGTCCAGGGTCCCAACGGCACGATTGAGAGCCCCGGGTTCCCTCATGGGTACCCGAACTACGCCAACTGCACCTGGATCATCATCACGGGAGAGCGTAATAGGATACAGCTGTCCTTCCATACCTTTGCTCTTGAAGAAGATTTTGATATTTTATCCGTTTACGACGGGCAGCCACAACAAGGGAATTTAAAAGTGAGGTAAAGTGTCTTCTTTTTATATTGTAGATTAGGTAGCACTGTTTGAATATTCGGATTCTGAAATCTATTCAGAATGAATATTTAAATTGTACCATGAGAACATAAAAATACAGTTACTAAGTAGAAAACTTAAAGAGTGTCGCTTTGAGGCAAATTGTGCATACTTTTTCTATATCTAAAAATTTAACTTTTTATTGAAAGCCATCATTGATTTCGTTTATAGATACCAAATTTTTCAAGATCTGTAAAACAGAGTTGTCAAGGCAATTTAAATAACATTATAATACACCATTGTTTTCAAGCAATTGTAAGTTTGAGAGAAAAACCACAAAGATAAATGCTTGAGTACATGTCAGATAATCAGAACAAAATGAACCCTTGTATTGTCAGAGAATATGTTCTGTGACACAGAATTGAACACAGGAGGTGGGTGAGGTAAGAACGTTCAGGACTATTGCATTTTTTGGAGAATTTGTGGTTTACACAATAATAGTACAATCTATTCGTAATTGGTTTTCTCTTTTGATCTATAGTTTTTACAGTAAAGAAAGCAAAATAGTTCCTGGGGTGATGGTGAATTATATATTTTATTCAATCGTAAACAAGAAAAAATTATACCTGTGCAACTGTATCTACGTTTTGTTTTCAATTTTGCAAAGGAGGAAGGAATATTCCTTCTAAAGAAATCAGGTTTTCTTAACAAAACTGATGAACTTATATAGATTACTGGTGCTAATAGCGACAGTAATGCACACGAAAATCATATGCTTCACTTATCATTTGATGGAATGAGAAAACCTCTACATAAACCCAATTTTATGTGTTCATCTACTTTATGATATTTGTGTCTATATATTGTCTATGTAACTAATATGTTAAGTATGAAATACATTCATTAACCATTTTCAAATACGTTTTATTTGCATTTTTCCATCCATTTTGAAATACAAAACACCTAGTTTTTTTTCTGCAACGTATTTTATTGTTTTTCAGAAACATTTTTACCTTTCATACATTGTACAATGGCCCTCTCTTTTCTGAATGGGTTAAGTTTCAGCTCTCCTTGTGTTATGTTTATGGTCTTATATGTGAGTATTTGAACAAAGTATCTGCATATATAATACTTGCTAATTCGATGCAGGCTTTCTTACATAATTTATGCTCTTCTAAATGTTAGTTGCTTTTTTATTTTCAATTATTGATGCTACTAGGGTATCCAAATTCATATCTTCCACATAATAGATAACTATTCATGTCAGTGATCTCATGCTAAGTATTTATAACATAATGAATGGGTCAGGCGCCGTGCCTCACACCTGTAATCCCAGTACTTTGGGAGGCCGAGGTTGTTGGATTACTTGAGGTCAGGATTTCGAGAGCAGCCTGGTCAATATGGTGAAACCCTGTATCTATGAGAAATACAAAAATTGACAGGGCATTGCCGCACATGCCTATAATCCCAGCTACTCAGGAGGCTGAGGCAGGAGAATCGCTTGAACCTGGGAGGCAGAGGTTGGATTGAAACAACATGGCGCCATTGCACTCCAGCCTGGGTGACAGAGTTAGACTTCATCACACACATAAAAATAATAATTATATATAATAATTATTTTATATATATAAAATGAATGTGTACCTTATCTTTTCATATTATTGATGATGTCATATTTTAAAGAAACTACTTGGTACTTGCTAATTTCAAATTCAGACTGTCAAGGAGAAACATATTTTTGAATAATCTACCCGAGTACTTGTTACTTTTTTCTCATTTTATCAGTGATAACCTAGTTATCAGAGATAACCCTAGTTATCTCTTTTCCTGTAATTCTATAGAGTTCTATCATTTATCGTAAACAAAATAATATTCTAAATGTAAAAGTTTAGTATTTTTTTGTTAGATACAAGCTTTTTGTTATTTGATTATTTACCATTTATTTAGCACTTCTAATGCTAGTATTTCTCTTATAGTAGAAAATTTTGACCATTAAATTCGGCTTGGATCAACACTTTTTAGGTCTTTTTGGCAAATAATTTGCCTTAAATAGGTCTAATAGCAATTAAATGATTAAACTTGTTTATGATATTAAAAAAATATATATATGTTGTTTTTTTTTTTTTTTTTTTTTTTTTTGAGACGGACTTTCGCTTTTGTGACCCAGGCTGGAGTGCAATGGCGCAATCTCGGCTCACCACAACCTCCGCCTCCTGGGTTCAGGCAATTCTCCTGCCTAGTAGTATGTTTTAACAGTAGTGTGTTACAATAGGAACTGCAGAGTTTTGGAAAAACCGTTATATAATTCATTTTATTAAAATACCAGTGCATCTGACTCTACATTAAAATTTCTTCATCTTTCCATTAAGAAATGCTTGGTAAATACGCACTCCTGAAAATATTTCCATTTCTTTCTCTCAATATTTTCATTTACTTTGATTCTTTCACAGATAAAACACCTGTCTTAATATTAATTTGGCTGATAGGTATGCCTTTCAATATTGTATCATCTCTTATGGTCTTCTGGTGCTATTTTGATCATTTTATATTAATAAATAGAAAACATTCTTACCATCTTTGATATTATAACAGGATCAACAGTGGGAATATTAAGGCTAGAAAATTAGGTGTATTTCATTTTGGAGTTTTAGTGAACAGTGAATACATTGATGTCTGTGCCTCTGAGAGCTTTATTGGAGAGTTGTATGTACAACACATAGTTCTTTCACTTGCTGGGCTATGTTTAGTAGAGGTAGCAAAGTAGGTTGATAAGAAAGAGACTGCATGGGTTTATATGAACCACTCAGCCACCGACAATTTTTTATTTGAAATAGAGAAAAATATGTCATAAATCTGCTTGTTTTCTGTCCTTAGAGTTAGGACATTGCTTTCATCTTGTCATTGAATTTTATATTTCTTCCTCCTATCTGCATGTGTAGAGTGCCATTTTGAGGAGATGTTCTAGGAGTGCACAGTGACTTCTTTGAGGACCGTTTAGAGTATTGTAAATACTCTAAATAGGGAAAACACCCAATGACTATGGAGGGCAGGGGTCTCTACTATTACAGAATGTGAAATAAATAGGATATCAAATTGGAATGGGAATGTCGTCAGGGAAAGCACATAAGGAAATGTCTTCTCTCAGTATTCAGGAAGAGTTGATGGGAAAGGCAGTTATAAATAGTAGCAAATTCGAATTAATCGGGAATGGGAGCACTCTAACATTATTTGTTTACCATTATGCCTTGAAACAGTTGTTTATTTCTCAGACACAATTAACTAGCAACACTTAAGGCAGCTCTAGAATTCAAAGGAAGGATACTTCTGTGGGAGGATTGATGTAGGAGCTGCTGATCCACTGACATATCACAAAAGTTATTACTGAGAGCTGTTATACGGTGTTGTTGTTTTATTGTTGTACAAAAGCTACTCTTAGAAGCTTAAAATGTGCAACAACTAAAAAAAAGACAGTTCTGTGAAACAGCTTGAGCATTTTTATTATCGATAAATTTCTTTCACATAACCACTGTAATATTCTTTTTCTAAATAAGATGCAGAATTAATCCCCAACTGACAAAACAGGATATGTAGTTTAGAATTATTGATGCTTACATTGTAACTGGAACTTTAGTCAGAAGTACGGTTTTATTTACATAAGTAAAATATTTAGAGTTAAAAATTAACATAACATTTACACTATCATCTTGGATTATTTCTTTAATACAACACACCGACAATACATATAAGAGTTGTGCTCCCATAAAGAAATTAAATTTTAATTATGTGGATATTGAGAGTTTAAATGAGTCCTCTCTTGGTAAGCACAAGAAAGAAATTTTGACTTAAAATTCAGGGGGTGAAGGGATAGGTGAGGGACAGCATAGGAGAAATACCTAATGTAGATAATGGGGTGATGGATGCAGCAAGCTACCATAGAAGGTGTATACCTATATAACAAACCTGCACATTCTGCACTTGGACCCCAGAACTTAAAATGTAATTTTAAAAATCTGGTCTTTGCATTATTTAGAATTAAAGCAGCGTTCGTTGCTCTTTTATGAGCTGTCAGGTGGTTGCTGTTTTAAACAGCCAAACTTTATTAACTCTGCACGTCCTCTTGCTTCCAAGTCTCCTCCAAGGTCCAACCATGTAGTCACCAAATCCCAAAATGCTTATAATTTTAGCATCACTCAGGCTGGCCGTGGTGGCTCATGCCTGTAAGCCCAGCACTTTGGGAGGCCAAGGTGTGTGGATCACCTGAGGTCGGGAGTTTGGGATCAGCCTGGTCAATATGGTGAAACACGTCTCTACTAGAAACACAAAAATTTAGCTGCATGTAGTGGCAGGCATCTCTAAGTCCAGCTACTCAGGAAACTGAGGCAGGAGAATCAGTTGAACTCGGGAAGTGAGCTGAGATCACGCTGCTGCACTCCAGCCTGGGTGACAGAAGTAGACTCTGTCCCAAACAAAACAAAACAAAAAACAAAGAAACAAAACAGTGTCTTTCCATTAATCACAACCCGTTTGGATCCTTACAGAAAAAGTTCCTACCAAGCCTCCTGTCCTGGCTCAGGCTGACCTGAGCATCCAGGTCGACCAGTGCACAATCCTTTGCTGCCCCAGGCTCCCCTCCATGGAACACTGACACGCCTGCCCCTATCCTAGCCCTCGTCTCTAGCTCCAGCAAGATGAACAGTTCTGGTACCCATGGCCCTGGCAGTCAAGAAACTCCACGATCTGACTCCACACTGCATTCTAGCCTTCAGTCTCTCCTGTTCATTCCCTTGAAAGTTTTCTTGTTCAGTTGTGCACATCTGTGGGTTACCCCTTGACCTGACCTGACAAGAAAATGTTGTCCTCTTATTTCCAGCCTCTCCCTCTGCCACACTAAATAATACGCATCTTTCAAAACCCAGCACACATCATATTTATTTCAGGAAATCTTCCCTAGGCATCCCAAACAATGCACACACATTTTTGTGTGTGCACAAACTCCTGTAACACTGGC